TCCAAGTTAGTGTGCTGGTTAATCACACACGCTCCACTAACGACTTAAGCAAAATGCAAAGTGTAATTTCATGGGTTAGCACCAAATTCACATTTTCCTAAAGTAACTAAGATTTGGAATTTATAAAACATTTAGTTACTTTATAATAATTATTATACTTTTAATGAGAATTAAAGTCATTGTCCTACCCGTTCGGCTAACGACCCTCCACCAGTCAAGGAAACGGTGGGTGAGAGTTGACACCCATTAAGCTGCCATTTTATAGGCAACAACCTTATACCCCCCTTATAGACCGGCTTCGTGAATGAGGCCTACTAACGGTAAAACGACTTGATCTTATATATATATATATATATATATATATATATATATATATATATATATATATATATATATATAACTAACTTATAATATTATAAAGTATAAGGGTTGAATTTTAACTTTTAAAATGCTAGGGGTTGGAACTAAAGTTTTCTAAAGTGACTTTACATGTTCCAAAACTTGAGGGCAAGTTTTGTAACTTTCATAACTTATGAGTTATTAGTTTATTAAATGAAGACTCTTCATTTTAGTTAACCTATGTGTTCATTAATGGACTTTAAAAGAATGACTTTTGGTAATCCATAACTTGATGACAAATTATGGATTCTATTAAAACACATAATGATCAAGAATTAACTAACAAACAATTTTGCAAATAATTCCTATGATCTTCTAAACTCATAAGTGTATGAATATTCATATCAACAATTTCAAGAATCATAAATAACACATACAAAACTTGAAATTTTGATAATAGCCATTGTAAATGGATTAGCATAACCATTACACCATCTAAAACAAGTTTTATAAGACCAAAACAATTTAGGGTAATGTTTCTAGTCCATTTCCAACAGCAAAACTCGAAAATCTGCATTCAGGGCCTCCTACTCGTCGAGTGCAAGAACCTACTCGACGAGTAGGATGAAATAACACATGGACTCGTCGAGCCCCCCCATGGACTCGGTGAGTTCACTCAGCAAAATGCAGAAATCTTGAGTTTTTTCAACAATTTGCATTAAGTATCAAGAAAACAAGCCTAGGCTATGATACCACTTAAGGATTTTGAGCATTCGAACACTCCTAAGGTGTACATGCATCCTTAGAAACCTTGGATCTATGTTTTCTCTAAGATACATGAAAATAATAAATTTCCAAGGTTTACATCCTAACTAGCATGGCATGGGGAACTTGAATCATAAAATGCTAGAAGAATTACATACCTTTTAGTGGTGGTTGATTCCTTGGAGTTTGAGAGCCTAGTACCAATAATGTGGATGCCTCAAATGGAAGTCACAAATCACCACAAACTTTGGAAAACTATGAGAATGTATGTGCACACTCTAGAATTCGGCTACCTCTTCTCACACACAACTAGTGCCAAATCAAGTGCCAAGGACTCCTTTATATAGTGTGGAGGATTAGGGTTACATTCCATGTAAACCCTAATACCCATGACTCTTCCTTTCCAAGGATCCATGGGTTAAAAGCTCCATGGACTATCCATGGACTCCCATGCAAGCCTAGCGCATTCCAAATGAGTATTAGCCCACACTATATAAATACAAGAGCCCATATTTAATTAGTCACCTTTTTTATCACCAAATTAATTCTAAATTAATTTAAGATCAAAACTAATTAAATAATATGATTTCATATTAATATATTATAACTTATAATATATTAATAAATCATAAACATACAATTCTCAAAGGATTATCCATACAAACAGTTCGGGTGAAGTGAAACCCGAATAGACCATGCCGGGACGGGTCAAGTATATACCAAATAAAATTATGGACTTGGACACCTTATCCAACAAAACTAGCATCCTACAAACATAATTCAACGGGCCAACATTGGTGCCTTCGATCCACGAGTATAATGAAGAGACTCACATCAATCCGATGATAAACAATCACATACACAAGCTGCTGCTACAATGGCTCCTTACACTGAACACATTCAACCCAACCCTAATTACTATTTAGTGTGATAACCCACAAATAAAGATCCAAATCATAATATCTCTTTGAAACGATAAAAGACCCTTTTACCCTTCCTACTCTGGACCTAACTTACCATGACCCAAGGCCCAATGGGCTTCAGGTGAGTACGCCATACGTTCACCATGCGTACACCCAACATACTGGTCCTTCACCGAAAAGGGACACGAGCTAAACTCGTTACGTCGTGCGTACGTAGAGGGTATGTACGGCGTACTCATTAGCTACCCAAAAAACGTTATTAAGCTCTTAATGCTTAAATACCTTTCGTCCAACTCAGAGATCTTAATCTTAGGAAGGTCTTAATTGATAAATTCTACTACTTTAAGCTTTTGCATGGCTTAGTAGAGCCCAAGACCAAACCCTAAGTCCTTAACACTCTTAAACAACCTCAAACTCTTGCATGAGTGAAAAATAACATCAAAGACTCCATTTTTATGACTCAAGATCCTTAAAACATCATAAAGTAACTAACTTGAACCGTGGAGTAGCTCATACTCATAATAACCAACCCTTGGGGCCTAAACATGCCAAAACCCTAAGCTAAATCTAGATCTTTGCAAAAAAAAACATAAAGATTGACACTTTATACCTCCATAAGGATGATCAAGCTGAAGAAAGTCTTGATCTACAAGCTATGGGCTCCAGTCACTCCTTCTAAGATATCCTTCTTCACTATAACACTCCAAAAAATCACACATAGTCTTGAGATTCTCATAAATGAAACTAGGGTTTCGTGGAGGCTGAGAGAGAGGATGGTGGCTGATGATAAGAGGGGTTTCCAAGGGTTTAAAGTCTTTGAATAGGGTCTAAGACCCTAAAATTAGGGTTTGTATTTTGCCATGAGTACGCCCGACATACTCAAGGTATGCCCAACATACTCAAGAGAAACCGTGATGCCAAGTTTAATGAGCTACGCCCCGTGTAACTATCAGTTATGCCCTGCGTATGGTCCTCCTAGTCTCCTATCAAAAATTAAAATATTCTTATTAGCTTTATAGGATTTTACTACGATACATGTGTTACATGACCCTAATTGATCTAACCCAAATCTTGAAGGTTGCTGAAGCAGAAATGATTAAGAACACATCTGAAGCAGAGATGCTTATAGGGTCTAATTCCAAGGTTTCCATGGACATTGACAATGGTAACAATAGTGGTCCAAAAAATATTTCTCTTCTCAATGGAAATGGGTCGTCCAAGATCAAGTTGTTTGATTGTATGGTAAAGAGAAAGGCTAGTTCTGGGATCATTCAATGTGTTTACCCCAAAGATTCCATTTGTTTTTACTACCAATTAAAAGGGACATTGGTTGCGAAGCTGCCCAAAGTACCTGAAGGATCTCAGAGATGGTAAAGTTAATTCGTATGACTCTACTTTAGGTACATACATTATCTAACTCCATTATTTTAATAAGTTCTCATTCATAGATTCTTAATACATGATGGGGTGACCATATTTTGATGGTATTGCTAGATCTAAGAGAAAGGAGGAAGCCTAAGCAGAGTGAGCTAAATCTAATCATGGAAAATGGACTTTTATCACATGGTTCGTTGGTCAAAAAATTTAGCTACTGCTAAGGATTTTGGATCATTTAATAGAGTGCTATTACTCGTCGGAGATGCCTAGAAACATAGTTTTCATTTTATGCATTGTAAGGACAAGTTCCAATTTTTAGTTTATTTTCAATAAAAGTGAAGTTTTGGTTTGCCGGGTTGCCTTATTTTATATTTCATTGCAATGACATTTATGGAAGTGTTGGTTATGTTTCTAATTTTATCAATATTAATTGTGAATATGATTATTATTATATCGCTTGTGGTATTGTCATAATTGACTAAGTGAAAAGAAATTTCATCATTAAGTTTCAATTGGACAAAAACTTGGAGTCATACAATTCGAATTACATGATGCATGATAATCTTGATCATTGGAAATTATGACTAATTCATGGTTCACATGTTTATGTGAGTCAAGTGAAAGACTAATCGATCTAGTACATGTTTATATGAACTAATTACTTAGCGTTATTAGTGTAGATATTTCGCTCGTGAAAAATAAATGATCGACTCATTCTTTTTAATAAATTCATAAACCATGGCACAACTTTTTAGCATAAGATACAAAAATCATAATAGAACATGACTACATGAGTCACCTGAGAAAGTAGGTAAGTTAGTTAGGAGGTGGTTTCAATTTCAACTATGTTGGCTAGTTGTGGGACAATCACCCTCGCCATAGTTCCTGCCATTAACAACTATATATATATATATATATATATATATATATATATATATATATATATATATATATATATATATATATATATATATATATATATATATATATATCCCTCTCTCTCTCTCTACATATAAATCTATCTTCTCTATATGTGTGTATATATATATGTGAATGTGAGAGAGAGAGAGAGAGGGAGCGAGAGACTTGCTGACCTGGTAAAATTGATGTGCAATTCCCCCTAAAACAACACAATTTCTTTGAATATATTATGGGTGGTTTTCGAAAATCAATGTTTTTTTGTTAATACCCTCCCATTCTCGTGTCCAAAAGGGTCATGCTTTTTATTTTTTTTACTGGTAATTCCTTCCCCCCCCCCCCTAAAACTCTTTTAGGGTATGCACACCATAATCTTGTGAAAATGTCAATTCATGATGTTTGGTTGATTGTTCAAATAGATAAACCATCCAGATATCAACATATTGTCCAAATCTGTCAATGAATCTTGAATCATTTGTAAGAAATGCATGAATGTTATCATGATTTTGAGCTTAATTATGGCTTATGATGATTGTAACACTAACATAATATAATATTTTGTTTGTTCATGGATTTTGCAACGCACCTACGTAAAAGCGCCGGTATGAACCTCCATATTTCTTTTTCATTTGGACATTTCATATACTTGTAGCATATAATTTCTAAAATGTGTAGGCATTTGATAATGACCCTAAATTCGACATCACAATCAAACTTACAAAATGCAAACTTTAGTAACCATATACACAGACCTCTTGAGTAACCATGAATTAGGCATGGAGAAAGTGAAGGTGTAGAGCCCTGATGATGAAAAGAAGTGTAAATGTAACTCTTTCAAGCATAAGGCAATTAGTGCCTCAAAAAGGGAAGGAAGAATAGTAGAGTCATGTATGTTGTTGTTGAAGATGTTCATGATGCAGAGGAAATAAAGGTATTCGACGCTTTACGTCAAGCTTTGATATCAGAAGAATTATTACCTTTAAACCATGATGAATACCATATGATGTTAAGGTTACCAAATTTTCAATCTTTTTTGATGTTTTAATGTGAAAAAGTAAGTTTCTAACTATGTTACTATAGATTCTTGAAGGCCGGCAAATTTGATATTAGAAAACCAAGCAAATGTGGGCTGATATGCTCCAATGGAGGAAGGAATTTGGTGCAGATACCATCATGGAGGTACTTTTTGTCGAAATGATCAAATTTCCCCTTTATAGGTGTCTTAAGATGTGTTTCTTTTTTACTTAATATGCTTAATGGGCCACTTAATCTAGACAACTATGCATGGTTGTTTCCTTTCTACTTAATTTGGACAAAATGACTAAATGGGTTAAGTCAAAAAAACATGGCTTGATGTATTAAGACACCCATCCCTTTTTCCTTTCTAAGTAAAATGGTCATTTAGATTTCATTCATAACGTTTATTCAGTCTAAAAAAACAGACCTTATGTAGACAACACTTTATCCCGACAAACATCATTGCCTATTCAACTATTTTATCCATACATGACTTAATGAGAAAAAAAAGGAAGAATGGTTTTGGGGACATTGTGATTTACCTCCTCCACATTGGCTCTAAAAATGTGCTATACCTTAAATGGCCAAATACCCATTTGGTGAATTTTCGTATTGGTTTAGGATTTTGAATTTAAAGAGAAGGAAAATGTTCTTGAATACTATCCTCAAGGGCATCATGGGGTTGATAAAGATGGAAGACCTATTTGTATCGAGAGAATTGGTCAAGTTGATGCTACAAAGCTTTTTACAAGCCACAACACTGGAACGTTATATAAAATACCATGTTATGGAGTTTGAAAGAACCACTCATAAGTTCCCCGCCTGCTCAATTGCTGCTAAAAAACACATCGATCAAAGCACCACCATTCTTGATGTTCAAGGAATCGTAAGTTAATTAATTCTAAAATCTAATGTAAAAATTAGTAAATTTTTAATTCAGTGGTGATGCATTAGGGACTAAAAAACATGAGCAAAGCTGCTAGGGAACTTATCCAAAGTCTCCAGAGCATTGATGGAAGCAACTATCCGGAGGTATAACCTTTAGTATACAAGTTTCTTGATATATTTTTATAAAATTAAGAAATTTCATGGTGTGTTCATTTATTTTTTGATGTTCCTTATAGACTCTATCTCGCATGTACATAATCAACGCGGGGTCTGGCTTTAGGCTCTTGTGGAACACACTCAAATCCTTCCTTGACCCCAAAACTACAGCCAAGATTCATGTAACTTAATTTGTACCAAAATTTTCTATAAAAGTTCCTTTTTATTTATAAACTCGCGACTAATAAATGATATTATTGAGTAGGTTATAATGGGCCACAAATACCAGAGCAAGCTCCTGGAAATCATTGATGCCAGGTACCTTTACTTTACAAAAATGATTATTATAGGGTATTTGTTTTGTTTTTATTAGTTGTGTGTTGATTTGATTCATATGAATTTTGTTGTTATATATTTTGACAGTGAACTTCCGGATTTTTTGGGCGGTAGTTGCAGTTGTGAAGATAAAGGCGGTTGCATGCGATCTGATAAAGGTCCATGGCAAGATCCAGATATCATGAAGGTCATATTCATATTAAGATTAAAAATAAGATTTATTTTACTGTTGAATTGTGTATTAGTTAATCTTGAAGCATTCTCAGATGGGTTCTAATGGTGAACACAAATGTTCCAAGTATGCAGTTGTAGAAGCGAAGATCATTTCTGAGGATCAGTCTGTAATTTCATAAATCTTTTTTAGCATTCATTTTATTGTCTTTTATTTCTACTATAAATTTCTTAAAATTTTCCTTTGATAGACTCACATCAAGCCCTCACAACTTCCTCCAGTTCATGAAGAAGTAAGTCAGTAAGTCACCATATTCGATTGAATCCAGAGAGGAAAATATGCATAAAAAAAATTAGGGTTGTTTGGTTTAAATTGATGTGTAGGATTGTATAAGGAATGGAAGGGTGAGCAAAGATTGTAAACCAGAGTAAAAGGGTAATGATGATTGTTGCAAGGTTAGTTCTTCTAGTGGTAAGGTAGGGAAGCAAGTGGTTACGGGTTTAATGACGTTGTTTATGGGGATTGTGACTTTGTATTCCACTGGGTTTTTAGACGATGACAGTAAAAAACCCACGATTTCAAGGACGGAGTATCAGGACTTGATGAAACGGCTAGCGGATCTGGAGGAGAAGGTGGTTGCGCACAACGGCAAAACGGCTGAGCTGTCGCCGGAGAAAGAGGAGATGCTCAACACCGCTTTGAGTCGTCTTGACGCCTTGGAAACAGAGCTCGCTGCTGCCAACAAAGTACATACCTTTAAGTTTAAGATTTTGGTTTTCGAACATGAAGATGAAGTAGCAGAATTATGTAAGTTTATGATTTATGCAGGCTCTTGATGAGTCGCGTGTTCAACAATAAGTGGTGGCGTTTTTAGAAAAGAAGAAGAGAAGGAGGAGGAGGAAGAAGAAGAAGTTCTGTGCTTTCTAACACACACCCATAAATCTAGATTTTACACACTCATGAACACACATCTGGAAATCTGATCTTTTTTGGGGATTGTTCTTGAAATCAATTTTAAAATCTTGGGTTGAAGAACACCCAAGAATCTGGCCAAAACTAGAAATCGAAAAACAATACCCATGTTTTAATATCTAGGGTTTGTTCAATCGTAAACAAAAGCTCCGAACATATTTTTGATTTCTGAGTTCTTGACAATTAAAGGTTGTACCGATGAACAAACCACCTTACAAAAGATGGAATCGTTTTCTCTACTAACACAGTGGGTGCATGTTGATCGTGTTCGTCCCCAGAAACATATAGATGAAGGTCTTGAGTTCTTGATCGTGTTCGTCCCCATAAACGAAAACTAGACTTGGATCTTGAGCTCTTGATCGTGTTCGTCCCCATCCCATAAATGAAACTTGAGGAACACACACACACAAAATCAAGATTTTAAACTTAAATTTTTGGATTTTTTTGAAAGAAATCGAGATTTTAAACCCATATCATAACAATAATCTGGATGTACATTCTTGAGTGTGTGTTGTTGTTGAGTTTTTGAGTATTTTGGTCAACAAAAATCATGTTTGGCTGGCTAAATCTACAATAGACGATCATAATCATCATTACTCATGGCTTTTAAACAAGAAAAACAAGTTCAATGAGAGATAACTTTGCACCATCTATTGCTCAATGTTTTTGTCAATTCAATAAACATTGGCCTTGTTTTAACTCCTCTGATAATTTTTTCCAATTTTTGCTCATTCACAACTCTGTAGTTTAAACTTGAATCAATGGAAATATATAATTTTATTTGTTTAGAGGAATTTTAAGTTTAATGGTAATGTGGGTGGTTGACAGACATGTGTTTACCCTGTTTAAACCCTACACCGTGTGAGAAACTGAGAATCATAGTGTGCCCAAAACCATCACACAATATATCAAAGCACTCTCAAAGTCAACAGAGTAAGAACAAAATGTCTTGTTTGCACATGAATGTTAAAAAAAACAACATAAAACTGGAAATAGTTGCATACACATTCATACACTTTTCACCGGCATGATTTATTCTTCTGCAAAGACACGTCACAATAATTGATCAATAAACATTTCATGCTTATATGCTAGGAAATGAACACTATCATATTATCATATTCATCAAAACTCAACCTGAACGTTTTCTCCTCTTGCACATCAATGTAAGCCAACAATTCTTCTTGCCTCATCAAAACTTCATGTAGAACCAACAAAACAAGTAATTAAAAAAATACAAATTATGTAACATCCATGGATCATATTATGTAACACCCATGAATCATATTAGTAATCTGAATCATATTATGTAACACCCATGAATCCAAATTATATGTTTTGGACATTAAAAAAAATCAAAGAAAATGTTACAATTCATTAATTTTTGAATTTTATATAAAACTCCTAATATGATAATTTAGAACATTTATTAAAAGAATTTATTTGATATTTAAATTAAATTTAAAGGGTTCAATTGACTTTTAAATAAGTTTAGAGGCCTAAAGTCTCTAAGAGGACTACAAATAAATGAAATTAGTTTAATTAGATCAAAAGGGAAATTATAGAAATTTAGAGGGTAAATTGCAACTTTAGAAAGTATCATTTTTGTAATGAAAATTGGGAATATGGTAGAATTTGACAAGTTCCGAAAGATGAAGGACCAAATATTGAAGAAAAAACTCATGCGGCGATTAGGTTATGCAGCCGCACACACGTCTACAGAGGGTGT